GTTCCATAGGCACCAAATGCCACGGCGGGGAGGGTACGAGAGGAGCTGAGGCCCACTATTATAAGGGTGATCGGAGGTTCTCCATCGGGCATTGGTGAAAAACGTTGCATACCTTAGCAACTTCCTGTTAATGTTTTAATTACTTACGAAATTATCTGTAATTGAGGTTTAATGTAATGGAGCATTTATATACCAATGTCTCAAATTGTACACTCAGCAATATTTAAACTGTGAGCGGTTTAGCAGAAGGTTTCAACTAGTTCTTACAGACAACGTTTAAGAAGATAATTCCAAAGTAGAATAAAGAGATCTGCTACCCCCTAATTGAAACATTTCGGATCTATATATTTTCTCTCTACTTCTATTCTCAAAGTTTTTTTTGTCCTAGTGCCTTGCATGGTAAGACCTCACTTTTGGCATAATTGTTGAACTTTGAAAGTTGAAAGTGGGGTAGGCAATCGGTTCTGTCCCAAAGCCGAGACATACCAAAATCCTTTTAGATTGGTAGCTGCTATTCCCTGCTAAATGTTTAGCATCTAGGGTGATTAAAACAACTGGTTTACCTGCTGTCAGTATAATGCGTCCGGTTGGAATACTGTGCTGGTGCCCTCGGTATTTCAGTGAGGTTGCACTGTAAATATGTGACACAAAACAAAACAAAACCATACCAATCATTTTTTAATTTCTTTTTATAAAAAATTTAATTCCTCAGCATTGTGATATTCTCATTTTCATAGATCTTTGACTATGCATATGCGAATATTCAGTGGTTGTTGGAGGCTGCCAGAGTTGAGGAGCCCTGGGATCAGCCACCCGAACAATAAACCATACCAATCATTGAAGTATGTCAACTAGACGTTATCAGTTACGTAGTCAAAGGAAAACTTAAATATCATAATACCCTTAGCACCAAGTACAAAACTGATACGATATTTGTATACGTGTCTGTCACCCCATCGTGCAGAGAGATGGTTTCTGTAAAACTTCTCCTTTTTGACCATTTCGGGGTACGATGAGAGAGATTGGTCACATTGTCATGATCTGCTAGTTCACTCTCGACTGATATCCTATGTGTGCCCAATATATGTAATATCATGCATTTAAGATTAACGATTGAAGCCTTATGACGCCTCGGAAGACGAGACAGAATTACTGCGAGTTGAGTCTTTGACTGGGTCACTAACCTTCCAATGTTTCAAATACAAGCATGCTGGACTATAAACGTTTCCGTTATTGTGAGGTATTGCCATTCAACATACGTTTGATTCTGTAATGCACCTACATGTATATATAACAATTACAAGAAATCTGATTCCCCTGGATACAAAATTGAAAAAAATAAACCAGATATTTCTCCGTATTTTGTTCTAGACTAGACCTTTACAAAGAATTTTGGATATAGCACAATATTTCCTTTTTAAAAAAAACACAAGTTTCCTTTTATTCAACTAACTAACAAAAAATCGTGTCAAAAGTATGCAGCTTCAGGTCCCCATACCAATGCTTAAACTCTTACTACGCATCGTAAACTGTTTTCGACATTACTATTGCTCCGTACACACATGACCCGGGCTGTTATAGGTCCATACGCACATGACCCGGGCTGTTATAGGTCCGTACACACATGCCCCGGGATGTTATAGGTCCGTAAACACATGACCCGGGCTGTTATAGGTCTGTACATACATGACCCGGGCTGTTATATCTCCGTACACACATGACCTGGGCTGTTATAGCTCCGTACATACATGACCCGGGCTGTTAAAGCTCCGTACACACATAATCCGGGTTGTTATATCTCCGTCCACACATGACCCAGGTTGTTATATCTCCGTATACACATGCCGGGCTGTTATAGCTCCGTACACACATGACCCGAGCTGATATATCTCCGTGCACACATGACCTGGGCTGTAAAAGCTCCGTACACACATGACCCGGGTTATTATAGCTACGTACACACATGACCCGGGCTGTTATAGCTCCGTACACACATGACCCGGGCTGTTATAGCTCCGTACACACATGCCCCGGGCTGTTATACCTCCGTACACACATGCCCGGGCTGTTTTTATCAAATCCTTTATACTCTCTTGTTCCTTGTGGAACAGCAAATGGACTCCTTGAGGATCCACTCAACGTGAACCTCTATGTACAGAAATCTGCATGACGAGAGGCCTAGTAAGCACGCTCAGAGGACTGCACCGTTGTCCGATGTCCAGCATTGATATTCCATTTCAATGTTATTGAAATATGAATAATAATGTGCATTATTGTTTCATTTTCATGTTCCAGTTAAAATAACCGTTTGAAAGTCGATGTGCTATTTTATCAACCTTCCCAATGTTGAATCCTTACAGTAGATAACGTAGTCAATAAATAGAAAAGAAAATTATAACTAAAAAAAAAAAAAGAATTATTTTCAAGATTCATGCCCTAAAGTGCACTCTTCAAGTTTGGCGCAGGACTATTTGTATGTTTGCTTCATGCTTCAGCGAGATCGCATCATCAATCTAGACTGGAAACTATTAGTCTTTTAAACTAAAAAAAAAATGTTTATTATTCTAATTGAACAATGATTGCTGGTCAAATCTACCAGACGTTGTTCCACGAACTTTACCCTAGCCGTCTTCACACGTCATTACACAACATTTAAATACGATCCGATTATAGTCATTTCTTCGTTTCTAACAATATATGGACAACAGAATGTATCCGGGATACATCATGTCTTTTTATACACCAACGGGAATGGTGACGAACTCTGTATTCCATGTATGCACAAGTTATCACTGGCGGTTTTGTGATGGAACATTCGACCGCGTCACTCCCAGGGTAGTGTGTCCATGCGCGTACATAACGACTACGTTTAATTCATTTACTTATTACATATACTCATTATATATGATATATGCGATTTAAAGCAATACGAAATAGCCGATACATAAATGTGTCACATTTCATAGAATACACACGAAATATTTATTTCGCCGATACTGCTTCTAACATTTCAAACAGGTCGCAACCTTGCAAATGCATATAACGGATCTTTAACTGCCCAAAGCTTTTTGTGTGATATATCATCGCATATGTTAATCTCAAAACTCCGCCGCGGACAAAACCTTGAAATTGAATATCATAGTTGTACGTAAAGTATAAGTTATACATGAAGGTGATATGTACAGCAATCTGGATGCATTAAGTTTTAATTGTTAGTAGATAGTATTCGATGAACAGGTGTTGTGATGGTCGGTTAAGGGCCTGTCACACACAACCGATGTACCTCGCCGGGACAAAACCGGAGCAAAAAAATACACAGCGGCAAGAAAATCGGCAGAGCTCCGGCGAGAAAGCACTTGAAAAATCAAAATTGACCGTAACAATACCGATAAAGTACCGGCGTTCCCGTTGTGCTGCCGTTGTTCTATCGATGTAAGAGCCGATGTGCTACCGAATACCACTTTTCTCAGGGTTACCGAGGCGCCGCCGTTGTTCTAACGATCGCGATGTGCCATCGTTGACCGGAGCTGTAGCGGAGTGATACCGTTGCGCTGCCGATGTTACCGTATACGTGTAGTACATCGTTAGTACATCGGCGGCGCATCAGTACTGCTTCGGTGGTATTCGGTAGTACTACGGTATCGCATCGGTACCAGTATGGTACAAATTGAGGCCTTCGAAGAGCCGCCGATCCATTACGGGGCGCCACCGGTGCTCTACCGATATTCACGAAACCATACCGGAGTACTGCCGATGTACTGTCGTTGTAGTCCCGTTAACGTTGCTAGCTCCGACAGCGTAGTAACGGCGGACATTTTTTAGCATGTTCAAAAATTTCTACCATCGCCTGCCGTTGCTAAATTTTTCGCCGATGTCCTGACGACGTACTAACGTTCTTAGCGATCTGATACCGTTGCGCTGCCATACTAGTACCGATCCCTAAAAATCGCCAAATTTGTGCTCCGGTATAGCTCCGGCAACCCAAATCGGCTAGGTGTGACAGGTCCTTAAAGGAAACCTGTAAACGGGAAGGTAAATTCAATCATGCCAGGTTCTCACCGATTGACTATGAGATATTGGCAGACCTTGTATAAAAATCCACACACCTTACATGACCAATTGTCCTTCTTTTCATTTTTAAGGAGACCTATCACCGAGCACAGTGACGAAAACTGGGGCCAGAAATTCCAGGGGACATATCAGAATAATTTTCATTACTCGCAGTAAGCCAACAAGGACTTTAACGACTGTGGTAACTAGTCACATAATTGTATATCAAGCGTTGACTGGTAGTCACGTGCAGGTGTGTTTATACACTGTAACATATCCGATACGCTACGTTCGATATAACATAAAACTATTTTTAGGATGGCCTCCGCATTTGTTTGTCTAGGGCACGGTCTCCACACTATGCGTCGGGTCATTGGTCTTTATAGATATTTTAGGAGCTTATGCTTATAAGGTAGTATGAGCACAGTTGACAACTACTTATCATATGGAGCGCGTTATATTTATACCCAGCATAACTGAACGAAAGAAAACAGTCGAATTGGGTTGCTACGAAAACTGAAGCTTTGGTTACTAGACTTAAATAGTCCTTGAGTAATATGATTATGTTTAGAAAACACGAAGTGAAAAACATTTCTATTCCTTTGCTAGTGTAAATTTTCAATTAATGAATTAATATAGTTATTGGAACGTTTTTTTTTTCTTCATTTATTGTTGTCATTATTAATACACTACTATAATAGTAGTAACGCTATACCAATGTCGCATCCATAAATTACGGAGTTTGTCTACATTCCAGTTGCTGCATGATTCGACAGGAAGAATCCCTGACAAACTACATTTTATGCAATTATTCTTTATTCGGAGTAATTAACAATTGTATTAATGTGATTTTGTTGTTTTCTGTACCTGGCGAATCGTATGTTGTTTCAAAGACATGTGATAACAAGTGTAAATGGAGGTATGCAATGACCCTGAATCATAAAGTAAACATAAAAGTAGTCCGGTGCCATCTTTGAAGCATGTATTGATCCGTTGAACCCTAGTGTACGATTATTCATTCGCAGCCAGCGTTTAGTAAAATCAAGAAAGGAAAAAGAGGCTTGACAAAAAACAATTTAATGGAAAATGAAGAACATAATAGTAAGGTATTTGCTTGTCCTATGCGTTATAATGTGCCTTACTGTATTATACATTCTAACAATTGTGACGGGATATTATCACAGTAAAGAAGATGTCGCAAGGAGGACAGGTATGTTTTATATTTATTTCATATTAAAATCATTTAGTATGTTGACAGTTGACATTTATAATGCTGGACAAATTGGACAGCACAGAATGGTCAAAAAGCAGCTTAAAACGGCAATTCTGTTTTATAAAACCCAACGATTTTGATAGAAGTATTTTTCTCTTTGAATTCCGTTTTTTTTTTCTATTTGTGTGTGTAATATTTCAAGCTTTTGAATTCACTCACGTTTCCTAAACTAAAATAATTTATCTATTATAGCAAACTATACTAGTTCAATACATGTATTTCACGTAGATAAAGTATTAGTTACATACATACATACATACATACATACATACATACATACATACATACATACATAATACATACATACATACATACATACATACATACATACATACATACATACATACATA